AGCAAAATAGTTGTAGGTTTTTATTTTATATTTATCTTTTTTTTTTTTTTTTTTTGACAGGCAGAGTGGACAGTGAGAGAGAGACAGAGAGAGAGAGAAGAGAGAAAGGTCTTCCTTTTGCAGTTGGTTCACCCTCCAATGGCCGTTGCGGCTGGTGCGCTGCAGCCGGCGCACCGCGCCTATCCGAAGGCAGGAGCCAGGTGCTTTTCCTGGTCTCCCATGGGGTGCAGGGCCCAAGCACCTGGGCCATCCTCCACTGCACTCCCTGGCCACAGCAGAGAGCAGGCCTGGAAGGGGGACAACCGGGACAGAATCTGGTGTGCCGGCGCCGCAAGGCGGAGGATTAGCCTAGTGAGCCGCGGCGCCAGCCTATTTTATGTTTATCTTAAGTATTCATTTGGAAGGGCGTGGACAGAGAGAGAAAGAGAAACAGAGATCTCCCATCTACCGGTTCACTTCCCAAATGCCTACAAACAGCTAAGGCTGGGCCAGGCAGAAGCCAGGAATAGGAAAATTAATTCTGGTCTCCCAGGTGGATGGCAGGGACCCAAGTATTTGAGCCATCACCCACTGCCCTCCAGGGTGTGCATTAGTAGGAAGCTAGCACCTGGGGCAGAGCTGGGACGTGAGCCTAAGTACTCTGATACGGGATGTGGGCATTAGTGGCATTTCAACCACGGCACCAAATGCCTGCCTCACTTGCTGATGCTGTAGAGAGTGGTGGGCTTTGCGGCTCCTCCTCCTGTCCTCCCTCTCTCGCCTGCTCCCAACAGAGCAGGAGGCGGGACTGGGGATACTTACTTCCATCAGCTGCCGGAAAGTCTCGTCCACTTGATGCAAGATGGTCGGGGAGTCTTGGATGAGGCCCTTGATGGCGTCTAAATGGTTGAAGGTGACCAGCAGCACATCCTTGGGACGGGGACACAGCAGTACTTGATATTTGAAAGCCATAGTCATCAGGTCATAGAGCTGCCAACACACACACACACAAAGAGAACCGTAAAAGCGGAAGTCAGAATCGCCCAGCAACGATGCGGCCAAGTGCTCACTGAAAGCCCACTCTGGGCTCAGGGCACTGCTCAGGTGACCTTGTCAGCCATCACCCAAACCAGGACACTGGGAGAGAAAAAGCGGGCGCTACTGATTAAGGCTGCACAACAGGCGTGACCTGGGACACTCCAGGACAAATCAGGATCTCTGGTCGCCTTACGTGTATTGCTGCTAGGACAATCCTGGCAGCTGGGGGGTCCTGGACTGGGCTCTGGACTTGGAGAAAAACAGCCCAGATTCAAGGACTCCTTGCCTGCTGACTTACTTCACGGCCCTGGCCAAGTTGCTTAACTCCTCTGAGCCTGCGCTTTCTCACCTGCAAAAAGTACTCCCCGATTTTCCACCACTGCAGAGCTGCTGAGAGGAGTGAAGGAGATGACATGCATGATCGTGGCGGGCAGAAAATTCAACAACTGCAAATGACGGACAATACTTACTCAGATACCAACAGGCCCCACGTGTGATAGGATCACGTATGGAGGACCGGAGGGGAGAAACTGCTGAGGACCAAAGTGGCCCATGCAGGCCTGTAGCAGAAGGGGCCTGGGAGGCACCTTGGGGCAGTCCCAGCGAACAGCCTGGTGCAGGGCACGGGATGTGCGCAGTAGTGGAGGAGAACGCTGGGTGGGGGTGATGGAGGCTCTTTTCCTGGGAGGAACAGGAGAGCTCCCGCCGGAGGTGGTGGGAAATGAAGTGGGGGTGAGTCTGGCAAGGCTGGAGGACCACAGGGTTTGGAAAGACAGGCAAAAAGGTCACAAGAAAAAAGACAGGCAGGCAAAATAAGGTAGACTGGATGTGGTAGGAATTAGGGGGTGGCTAGGGTTGGCTAAACTGACCCGGGAGGAGTAATGATGAAGTGAGATTGGTCAATCGGCAATGAGGAGTGAGAGACAGGGCAGGCTGGAGCCAGGGAGGTGAGCCAGTACCTGGCTCATGCTAGCTGTGTGATCAACATCTACTGATGGTGCGAATGGATGAAACGTTGGCGTGCTCTGGACTTGTGGCCTGGAATAAAGACGGCGGCCACGGAGGGCAGGGAAAGGGAGCGTGCGTGTGCTATGAAGGAGAAGCCTCGGTGACGAAGGTGAGGGTGGCCCAGGAGGGCCGCGGCATGTTCACCCTAGTGTCAGGGAGGAGGCTGGTGCCACGGCTGGAGGCCAGAAGTCCGGGGAGGCCGGGGACAGGAGGGGCCTGGGGAGAGAGCCTGGACACGTGTGCGGCAGGACTGCGAATATAAGCCGCTACCAACCGAGGCTTCCGTCCAGCACAGTTACACACAGGAGCCCATCTGATCACGTTGAATCGTCACAAGAAGCCTGCGAGGTCGGTGATATGCCAGTTTGAAAACGAGGGAACTTGCCCAGCTCCACATTGCCCATGCATGGCAGAGTGAAATCAGACTTCAGGACGTCAGGGCTCCTTGCTAGAACCCTCCGTGTGATCCTGCTTCTCCGACACTCAGCTAAATACTAAGGGGGCAGCAGGGGGCGTGAAACACTAGAGATAGAGTTGAGTGTCTCCGCCATCCTTAGCAAACATTAAGTGCCTGCTGTGTGCATGGCACCACACTGGGAATGAAGGTTGAAGATGGGTGCCAAGACGAAGCAGAAGTTCCAAGATGTGCAGCGGAATGGGTCCCACAGCTAGTGACTGGTAAAGCTAAAGCTTCAGGCCCCCGTCCTGAAGACAGGGGGAAGAAGGAGCAGAGGGAAGGTGAATACTTACTGAACATCTACTATGTGCCAGGCCCAGGCACACGTCCCACTTAATCCTTCCAATAACTGATAACATAGCTGTTATCCCCATCTTACAGATGGCAACGTGGAGTTACAGGGAGATAAGTGACTTTCGAAAGGTAAGTGTCAGGGGGTAAGAGGGCTTGGGTAAAGGCAGTCTGCCCCCCGAGGCTGCCAGGTGCAAGTGACAAGTCTGCGTTGATTCTGCACACCGTCTACCCGCCATCAGTCCCGTGGAGGGGTGGCCATTTAGCCCAGGATGGAGATGACCACATCCCACATCAGAGTGCCTGGGTTTGACTCTCCTGATCAGGTTCCTGACTCCAGCTTCTGGCTAATGCAGAGCTGGAAGGCAGCAGTGGTGCTTCAAGTAAGCGGGTTCCTGCCCCACCTGTGGGAGACCTGGCTGGAATTCCTAGCTCCTGGCTATGGCCAGGGCTGAGCCGTGGCAGGCATGTGGGGAGTGAACCAGTGGAAAGGGAGTTTTCTCTCTGCCTCTCAGATAAATAAAAATAAAACATTTTCACATAATGGAGGAACTTGAAAAGGAGTTATTAAAATTTTTTATTTATTTGAAAGCTGGAGAGACAGAGAGAAAGACAGAGACGGAGAGATCTTCCACCCACTGGTTCCCTCCCCAAATACCCCCAATAGCTGGGGCTAGGTCAGGCTGAAGCCAGGAGCCCAGAACTCACTCTAGGTCTCTCACATGGGTGGCAGGGACCCAGGTACTTGATCCATCCTCTGTTGCCCTCCAGGGTGTGCATTAGCAGAAAGCTGGAATGGGAAGCAGAGCTGGGACTCGAACCCAGGCACTCCATTTATGGGGTGTGGGCCTTCCAAAGTGTTGTCCTGACTGCCGCACCAAATGCCCACCCTTTGAATTAACTGAAGTCCATACTTTATTAAGATTCCACTAGTTCCTGCCAGTGCACAGTTTCTGTCCCAGGAGCCCCTCCAGGGTGCTAATTCTATTTAGCTGTCCTGTTTCTTTGGGCTCTCTTGGCTGCGACGGTTTCTCTGGCTTTCCTCGTTTCTGATGACCTTGACGATTTTGATTACTCATCAGGTATTTTGTAGCATGACCTCCAGGTGGTACTTGCCTCATGTTTTTCTCATGGCTGGACTGGGAAGGAAGACCATGGTGGTGAAGTGCCGCTGTTATGACATCATACTGGGTGCACAGTGACTCCCCACTGCTGGTGGGACCCCGGGCCACCTTGCTGCGGCAGTCTGTCTGGATTCCCCCAGTGTAAAGCTAATGCTTTTCCCGGCTCTGTTCTGGACCATATTCTTTGAAAGGAAGTCACTAAGTACAGCCTACACTTCAGGAGTGGGGAGTTATACTCTGCCTCCTAGAGGGCAATTATCTACACAAATTGTTTTGAACTCCTAAAAGACTGGTCTGTCTCCTACCATTTAGTTATGTGGAACTACTGTTTTAAAAATAAGAGTAGGCCAGGGCGAGCACTGTGGCGCAGCAGGTTAATGCCCTGGCCTGAAGTGCTGGCATTTCATATGGGTACCAGTTCCAGACCTGGCTGCTGCACTTCCAATCCAGCTCTCTGCTGTGGCCTGGGAAAGCAGTGGAAGATGGCCCAAGTCCTTGGGCCCCTGCACCTGCGTGGGAGACCTGGAGGAGCTCCTGGCTCCTGGCTTTGGATCAGCGCAGCTCTGACTGTTGTGGTCATCTGGGGAGTGAACCAGAGGATGGAAGACCTCTCTCTCTGTCTCTACATCTCTCTAAAACTCTGTTTTTCAAATAAATAAAATAAATCTTTAAAAAAATGATGAGTAGACCAATAATTTTCCCCAAAAGAAATGAATATTTTCATATTACAAGAAAAGACTGAGTGGGTTTGAATTTTCTTAAAAGAAAACCATTTCTTCACTGTAGACTTGAGATTTGTGAAGACAGGCCGAGTTTGAGTTCTCAGGGTTGAGTGTCTCCTGTGTCCCTGGGGACTGATAAATACAGGCACGCAGACCAGCACTCTCCTGGGGCAGAGGACTCGGTGTGCGTGACCTCTGAGGTCTGAAACTCAACAAAAACCACCAACATTTGTGCCTGTTTCTTGTGGGACTCTCACGCCCATCATCTCACCTGACCCCAGTCCGCGGTCATCCCCAGAAGGCACAGGAAGGGCAGCCACGTGACAGGCAGCGGCTTTGCTCCTCACCTTATCCATGCTGGCCTGGTTCAGTCTCATGATGGAGGCGTGAGCCAGGCGGTCGTAGACGGTCCTCAGGGCCTTCTTGGAGTAGAGCTCCTGGGGCTTGAACAATTCCTCCATAAACTTTCTGTTGAACATGGTGGAGACGATGTCATTCAAAACTGTGGGGACAGGAGAGGAGCCGGCTGAGCAAGGCGCTGCAGGGAGCTTCATTCACAGATGCGCTCTGCAGGTGCAGGGAAGAGCCAGGCACACACAGAGCGCGAGGCAGGCGGGCGCCTGGTGGGAGCAGCTCCCTGCGGAGAAGGCAGGGCCCTGAGACACCACATCCGGGCCAGCAACGAAGGCAGCAAAGGCAACGTGCTACGGGCTGTGCTGCAGGGGCTGTGAAGCACTCCATGTGCTTTATCTCCTACGTCATGGTAAGGCAAGTGTTTCTGCCTTCTTAAAAAGAGATTCCTATTAGCCTTAGGTCACTTCCTTAAAAATGAGAAGGAGCATCACTCTTTAAAAAAACAAATCTACACACTCGGACATCTATTTCCTAAACACAGGTAATTGACTCTTCTGGAAAGACATTTTATGAAAACAGGCAGGCCCACCTGCTGGTTAGAGACTCAGGCATTACTAGTGTTTCCATAAGACGTGTATGTTGTTCAGACAGCACAGGTTGAGAATGCAGTCCTTTCTTTCTTTCTCTTTCTCTTTCTCTTTCTCTTTCTCTTTCTCTTTCTTTCTCTTTCTTTCTCTTTCTCTCTCTCTTTCTCTTTCTCTTCCTTCCTTCCTTCCTTCCTTCCTTCCTTCCTTCCTTCCTTCCTTCCTTCCTTCCTTCCTTTTTTTAAAGGGGGAAGGGAGGCGGGGTGAGAGAGAGAGAGAGAGAGATCTTCCATTCGCTGTTTCTCTCCTCAAATGGCCACAACACAACAGCCAGTGCTGGGCCAGGCCAAAGCCAGGAGCCTGGAGCTTCTTCCAGGTCTTCCACGTGGGTGACAGGGGCCCAGGTGCTTTCCCCAGACCATTAGCAGAGAGCTGGATTGGAAGTAAAGCAAGTGGGACAAGATCTGGCGCCCACGCTGGGATGCCAGCCTGGCAGGTGGTGGTTTAACCCACCATGCCACAATGCCAGCCCCAGAGAATGCGGTAACTTCTATGTCTGATCCCCAACACGGGTATCACATTGTAATGATATAGCTCATGCTGTTGTTCAAACGGAAAATCTCTATCACATGAGAATAAAAGGTGTGTACAAACCAAAGTTGCCTATAACTTTAGGTCTTCATTCACTTAGATGTTTTGTACCACTCAACAGAATATCACTAGGTAAGTGGTTTGAGAAATAGAACAGGTACGGTTGAATATAGACTATTCTTAATTAAGGTAGTTATTCTGGCATAAAGATGAAAGGATGTGGAGAGTACACATTCATAGTAATTAAAATTGGAGATAAAACTGGGTTACTTAAAGTAATTACACAAAATCAATTGTTAAACATGAGTGATTATTACTAAAGATTTATTTATTTTAAAGATTTACTTGTTTATCAGAAAGGCAGAGTTAGAGAGGGAGAGACTTAGTTCACACTGGAAATGCCTATAATATCCAGGGCTGGGCTGAGCTGGGCCAGGCCAAAGCCAGGAGCCAGGAATTCCATCAGGGTCTCTCTGGTGGGTGCAGGGGCCCAAGCGCTTGGGCCACCTTCTGCTGCTTTCCCAGATGCATTTGCAGGGAGCTGAATCAGAAGTGGAACAACCGAGATTCAAACAGGCGCTCATGTGGGGTGCTAGCGTTGCTAGCAGTGGCTTAGCCTGCGGCGCCACAATGCTGGCACCTATTACTAAAGATTTAAACTCCTTTTGCCAACCACAAGGATGTGCCAGGTAATTGGCCATGGCCTTGTTTCTTTAAAGGCAGAGCAGTGAGTTGATTATTTCAGGCACCTCCACCGGTGAGTAATTAGCAGCAGTACCCTGAGGGCTCAGGCCAGCATTTTAAGGCATCTCCGTGCATTTGATGGGGGAAGGTGGAGCCGAGGTTTGATTTTTGGTGGTACCTAAATCTTAAATGGAAGGACTATGGGCAGCGGGGAGAAAGGACACATTCTTTCCCCGACGCTGACACAAAAGTCCTCATAGAAGTGTTTGAGGCCCTGGCTCTGCTTCTGCTTGCAGCTTCTTGCGAACGTGCACCCTAGGAGGCAGCAGGTGGTGGCTCCAGGACTTGGGTCCCTGCTACCCATGTGGGAGATGCAGACTGAGTTACAGGTTCCTGGCTTTGGCTTGGCCCAGTGTTGGCTGTTTCGGCTATTTGGGGGGTGAACCAGTGCATGGAAGGCCTCTCTTTTGTCTATCTGTCTGCCATTCAAATAATTAAAAAAAAAAAAACACCTCACACTTGCCCTTTGGACTTTTCCCTAGACTCCATCAAATCCATTCCCTAACAGGGCGTCCCTCACAATGGACGACTTCAACCCATCACAGCATGCCCTGCGCATGTGCCCCGCCATTCCCCAGAGTGGACACTCTGCAGGCACACACTCTGCCGCTGCCTCATGCCTCCCCTTAGCCTTCCACAAAAAAAGGACCTACAGGAACCTGGCTTTTCTCACTGTTTTCTTACCACAGCCTGTGTGAAACGCAGAATTTACTAGGAAAGAGGTCCAACTGAAAAGCCACATGCAACTCCTCAGAAGACAGCATAAAGACTGTCCCACGGATTTCTGTAGGCCTGGGAGGAGGACCAAAGGGGAAAGTTCTTCTTCTTCTTCTTCTTCTTTTTTTTTTTTTTTTTTTGACAGGCAGAGTGGACAGTGAGAGAGACAGAGAGAAAGGTCTTCCTTTGCCGTTGGTTCACCCTCCAATGGCCGCTGCGGCTGGCGCACCATGCTGATCCAATGGCAGGAGCCAGGTACTTCTCCTGGTCTCCCATGGGGTGCAGGGCCCAAGTACTTGGGCCATCCTCCACTGCACTCCCTGGTCACAGCAGAGAGCTGGCCTGGAAGGGGGGCAACTGGGACAGAATCCGGCGCCCCGACTGGGACTAGAACCAGGTGTGCCGGCGCTGCAAGGCGGAGGATTAGCCTAGTGAGCCGCAGCGCCGGCCAGGGGAAAGTTCTAGTTAGACACCCATCAGCACTGACTAGGGTAATGCCACTTGAACCAGCATTCATATGGGCAGCCAGCGCTGCAGGCGGCAGCTTCCCCTGCTGTGCCACCATGCTGGCCTGGGTTAATGCTACTAAGAGCTACCCTTCTCCTGTGTGCTGAGCAGTTCTCAAGTGTCTTCAAGTTTTTACTGGCATTTAGGAAAACAGCCTGGGCCCAGATAGTCTGTTTCCAAAGAAAGAAAGCCCCAAGGTGATGGTTAGCTCCTCTGGGCAAAGTGAAAAGGAAAACACAGCTCCCCTCTGGGGAGTGAAGAAGCCACATACATTCGGCATACACAGGTCACCATGGCTCCCTGTGCGAGAATGCCTGCCGAGTTCACCTGTTGGGAAGGAAGGACAGCAGGTGCCCCCAAAGAGAACATGGTGGTTTTCTGGTTGGGTCCTGCCATGCAGGGATGCACCCCTCACTTCCTTCCTTGGACAGAGTATGAAGGCACGCGCTGACGCGTTTTCTCACAATCTGCTTCGCTTAGCATGTGGCGGAGGCAGACCTACTTATGAACCAGACTCTGAGGTAAACAACCCAAGCACAAAGAGGAGGGGGATGCTCTCCTTGCCCTAGAAAAGCAGCCACATGATATTTAAAGAAAGCCTGGGAAATCGTTTTAATCACACCCATTAGTCTGTCTTGGAGTTATTTAATTTAAAAAAAAAAAATTTATTTGAGAGTGAGCGAGAGCACACCCATCTACTGGTTCAATCCCCAAATGCCCACAACAGCTGGGGCGGGGCCAGGACCGAAGCTGGGAGTCAGGAACTCAAGCCAGGACTCTCACATGGGTGGCGGAAACTGCATTACTTTGAGCCGTCACTGCTGCTTTCCAGGGCCTGCACTGGCAGGAAGCTGGAGTCGGGAACTGAGCCAGGAATGGAACCCAGGCACTCGGCTATGGGACATGGGTGCCTTACGTGCTAGGCTATACACTCGCTCTTGGGTGTTACTTGTTGGCACTCGGATGAGCTCTGCATACGTTGAACAAGGCAGGAAGATCCGAGGAGCCAGATTTGATCAGAAGAGGCTAAGGCAGAGGAGGGACGGATTTTTCGCAGGTGCCTCGGGAGGACTGGACCTGGGCTCTCCATACATCGGGCTGCCAGCCTCGGGTTCAGGTTATGAAGTCACTTTCTGCTCATTATCTCTGCACACTTAAGTTGAAATAAATTCTAGTGATCCAATTAGGTCTATGAAAAGTCCTCAAAATCCACACTTCACATCCGAAATTCTGCCGTGCATCAAGGGGTAAGCCAAAAATTGCTCAAGAGAAGTGTCAAAAGGTGGTTGCAAAATACAAGAGCATATTAAGCACTCAAATAAGGACTTTTCTTTGAGCCTGGTCTGATGAAATAATTATCTTGATGAAAGCAATCAAGTTCTTCCCAATTACCTCTGCTCTAAATATCCTCGTTTATGGGAACAGGAATATGCGATTTGGAGCCAAAGCTAAATGACAGAAGTCAGGAAACCCCACTGGATAGTCACCAGCTCCCATGTCGTAGGCACTGGGCCTAGAACTTTATATGCATCATTTCATTTAAACCCCAAGGTGAGGTGGGTGTCTGGTGCAATGGTTCAAGATGCTGCTTGGGACCTCGCCTACCATGTTAGAGCACCTGGGTTCAAGTTCCAGTTCCACTGTTGCTGCCCACCCTGGGAGGCTGCTGCAGGTGATGGCTCCAATAGGCCCCTGCCACCCATGTAGGAGACTCACATGGAGTTCTGGGACCCCTGGCTTTAGACTGGCACAGCCCTGGCTGTTGTGGGCATTTGGGGAGGAAACCAGCAGACGGAAGATCTCTTCATCTGTCTCTGTTTCAAATAAATACATGATTGAAAAAAACCTTCCAAGACAATTCTGAATTATCCTCATTCTAAAACTGAGTATTATTAAACTCTTTAAGAGTCATACATCTGGTGGTGGAGTTGGAAACAGAACGGGGCCCATTTGATTCTAATGCTTGTGCTCCTAAATATCACACGCGCTATCTCCTGGTGAGGGGACAGCATTTAAAATGTAGGAAGGATGGCTGAGGCCAGGCATCAGTGCGCCCAGCTGTCCAGGTGTCTACGATTTAGAAAGGCGAGAAAGGCTGAGGTTTTGTTGCCAGGAGTTGGCGACTTCTGCAGGTGAAGGGGACACTGAATGCTGCGCATGAGAAGGCCGTACTGCATGCGTGATACATGCCTCCTGCCCACGGTCCTGCGGCCATGCAGTCACATGCTTCCCTCTTTCTCGGCTGCCCAACAGAGATCTCTGTGCGCTCATGCTAAAGGACAGCTCTTAGGTCACGGGATACTAGGACGAAGTTGTTTTAAGAACTACCAGACAGGACAGACTACCAGAAGTGTGGCTGCTGCCCCAGCGGCCCCTGCAAAGGTTGACACTGAAAAAAGAGAGAAGGACCACTCAGGTACACGACACAGCCCTTTAGCCAACATCTGCTTGGTCTGCACCTGGCACCATGTGGTCATTCGCTTTATGCAAAGGGTTCAAATGCATAACCAACATCTCAGCTAAAGCAAAACTCGGGCCTGTTCTCTTACTTAGAAATACTTAGTGTGGTCCCACTGTAAGCCCCACTGATAAAGGACTGAGGGACCCTACGGATGCAGACTACATACATGCAGCCCAGAGATAGCATACCTCGTTTTCTGTCCACCTCTGTCCATTCATCTACACGAAGCATATAAAAAGAAAACACCAGTTCATGAGGCAAGAGCATTACTTCCCAGGAGGCTTTACCAATCCCAGTTCTAGGGCTCTGGTCTATGAAACATTATTTTCCATCCTCGCATTTAACGTCTAATGTGAATACTCTGCCTTCCATCTGAGACTTCACAAAGAACGACAGATAAGAAACAGGCTCCAAAAAAGCCCAAAAAAGGGGACAGCCTCTCCAGGGCAGCCCAGGCAGAGAAGAAATGCAGGAGGACTAGCGGCCCCGAGAGGGCTCTGGGAGTTGCACGCTTTGCACTGGTCAGCTTGTCATCACTTTGCCTTACGAAGGAAGCAGGCTTATTGTGGCTTGCAGCCGTGGAAGTTCACAGAGATCGGGCTGGTCTGGAGTCTGAGCAGGGTGCTGACGGCAGAATGGACGTGTGCAGAGGGGAGCACTCGTCCTCCCAGCCGTTGGTCTCTCTGCATACAGCAGCCAGGGTTTGCTTGTGGGGGGTGTACCCCAGCAATTTAATCCCATCCAATCACTTCCCAAAGACCTCATCTTCAGACGTTACAATGGGATTAAGTCTTTGACCTTAATCTAGGAGCTGGTCATGGAAGACTGTGGGGGACACTCTAGTATTCAAACCATGGCGCTCTCCAACAAGAATACACGTCATTCAAAGTAGGCTTTAAAAACACCAGCCTCTGGAGGACATCTGGTGCATGAAAGAAGCCAGACATAGACAAATATTGCATGTTCTCCCTCGTATGTGGGAGGAAAAATAAAAAAAAAAAACCCAAAAACTCAAAAAAAGAGAAAAGTCTGTGTCTATCAGTTTCACTGCGAATGCAGTGTTTCGTTAAGCTTTGGTTTAAATCTTTGTCAAATAAATTGACAGGAACTGTATACCGCTATAGTTCTAATGATTTGATGACTATTTTTTTTACTTTCACATCAGCATTATAAAAGTTTATTTTCACAATTCTAAAGAGGTAAATCCCCAAACTTTACAATTCCTCACTTATTTCTCCCAAAACAGATCAAAAAGATAAATAAATAAAAAGTGTCAGAATATCAAACCATGTTTAAAAATTCTGTGGGCTAATTTTAAAATCTGAATTATTTTAAATTATGACAATGATGGAATGTTTGCCAGTTAATCAAGATTCCAAACTAACATTCAAAATAAGAAAGAACTATCGCTGGGATCCTGTTACATTTTAAATCACTATAAAGGCTGATTAGTTTTTATCATTAATAATGCTATTGCCATAGCAAATAATGCCATTTATATTCCAAAAGTATATTTGTCTTGCACACCTTACACATTGAGGTATAAAGCAATGCTTTACTTGCATTTTTTATTAACATAACAAATAATTTCTTCCATAATGGAAATTATAGTAAAAAGTTAAATAACATCAGCCAACTTGCTGGCATTTTCTATGGTCTTCTAATTAATATACTAGTGCATAGACATGTATAAACCATATAGCCATACCAATTTATAAGCAACAAATTCAAATTATTAGGAATATAAATTCAAATATTATATCAATTTATAAGCAATAAATTTAAAATGTTAGGAATATAATAAAACTACATTACACATAGTTTACTTTCCATGATTTGATGACTATTTTAAAATTTGCTTTATATGAGTGAAGTTGAACGTTTTCTCACTTGATTACTGTGTATAGCCCTTGCCTATTGTCCTGTTGGACTATCATCTTTTTACTTTTTATTTGCTGACCTCTTTACCTAGTAGTGCCATTGAGTCTTTGGCTATAATGTAAATTAAAAATATGTTATCTCCATAGCCAAAAAGTGAAAACAACCCCAGTGAATGGATAACTAATTATCTGCTTAAAAGGTAATACTACTTTGCAATAAGAGATTTTGAAAAAAAAAAGTTATCTCAAAAAATAATATATAACATATCAAGTTGAAAAAAACCCCCACTACCCTCCATGAGGTGGAGTACTTCCAGGGACAGGTAGAGAATGGAGTTTATTCATGTATAGTCTGATTTTTTTTTTTTAATTAATGTAAGAGTTCCCTTTCTAGAGTACAGATGGAACTCATCAAATTAGAAAACCTGAAATGTGAGTTAAAAGGGAGATATGTCAATGTTTGTTTCTCCACCCTGCAGGCGAAGGTAGTCAGGGAGATACCAAGAGAGCAAATTAGGGAAAGCATCCTTGGCTAGAGAGATCTGTGAGAATCAGGACCCGTCAGGGCTGGGATGGGTCTACTACTTACTAGCTATATGAACTCCCAGCAACTCGTCCCATCTCAGTTTCTCCATCTGTAAAATGGGAGTCCAACTAGAGCTGCCTCGGGGAGCTGTCGTGACAAAGGTGGGCTCATGGACATCAAATATGTAGCTGGCTTCTTTCCGTCCCACTCTCTCTGCTGAAGTTCACTGGACACTCACTGAGAATCAAAGATGAGGGTTTTTATTTTTTTCTTTCCTTAATTTTTGGGGGAGATTTCAACCTAGAAAAACCGCATCCAGAGAAACAGATTCCACATACACTCATGTTGCAAAACATTTAGTAATTAATGGTCTCTTGTGGGAACACTGGCACTAGATGGCTTCCTGGGTATTTTCTGAGGTTCTAATCAGAGCACGCACACGCCTTCCACACGCCGGCATAGCTTGTAACTCACAACGCCAGTCCGGAGCTGCCAGTCTGAGAGCACAGCCGGCACGGAGCACTCACACTCTGCAAGCGGGTTTCAATGCCAGGTCAACTCCTGTGGGGAAATCCACCATTTTTCTCTCCCAGGAGGCTCCTGGGAGAGAAAATACTGGGAAATCAGCATTAAGAATCCTGTCTTCCGGCTGGCGCTGCGGCTCACTAGGCTAATCTTCTGCCTGCGGTGCTGGCACCCCAGGTTCTAGTCCCGGTTGCTCCTCTTCCAGTCCAGCTCTCTGCTGTGGCCCAGGAAGGCAGTGGAGGATGGCCCAAGTGCTTGGGCCCCTGCACCCACATGGGAGATCAGAAGGAAGCACCCGGCTCCTGGCTTCGGATCGGCACAGCGCTGGCTGTGGTGGCCATTAGGGGAGTGAACCAATGGAAGGAAGACCTTTCTGTCTCTCTAACTCTGCCTGTCAAAAAAAAGAATCCTGTCTTTATTTTTTTAAGATTTATTTATTTATTTGAAAGACAGAGTTACAGAAAGGCAGAAGGAGAGAGACAGAGAGAGAGAGGTCTTCCATCTACTGGTTCACTCCCCAGATGGCTGCAATGGCAGGAGCTTCACCAATCTGAAGCCAGGAGCCAGGAGCTTCTTCCAGGTCTCCCATGCAGTTGTAGGGGCCCAAGGACCTGGGCCGTCCTCTACTGCTTTCCTAGGCTACAGCAGAGAGCCGAATTGGAAGAGGAGCAGCTGGGACTTGAACGGGCGCCCATATGGGATGCTGGCACTGCAGGCGGCAGCTTTACCTGCTAAGCCACAGCGCTGGCCCCAATCCTGTCTTCTTAAATCAGACTCTGGAGACCGGCGCTATGGCATAGTGGATGCCTGTAGTGCTCGCATCCCATGTGGGTGCTGGTTCAGATACTGGCTGTTCTGCTTCTGATCCAGCTCTCTGCTGTGGCCTGGAAGGGCAGTGGAGGAAGGCTCAGGTCCTTGGGCCCCTGCATCCACGTGTGAGACCTGGAGGAAGCTCCTGGCTCCTGGTTTCGGATCGGTGTGGCTGCGGCCACTGCGGCATCTAGGAGTGAACCAGCAGATGGAAGACCTCTCTCTCTCTCTCCTTCTGCCTCCCTGTAGCTCTGCCTTTCAAATAAATGAATAAATCTTAAAAAACAAACCAGCACACCGGGTTCTAGTCCCGGTCGGGGCGCCGGATTCTGTCCCAGTTGCCCCCCTTCCAGGCCAGCTCTCTGCTGTGGCCAGGGAGTGCAGTGGAGGATGGCCCAAGTGCTTGGGCTCTGCACCCCATGGGAGACCAGGGTAAGTACCTGGCTCCTGCCATTGGATCAGCGTGGTGCGCCGGCTGCAGCGCGCTGGCCGCGGCAGCCATTGGAGGGTGAACCAACGGCAAAGGAGGACCTTTCTCTCTGTCTCTCTCTCTCACTGTCCACTCTGCCTGTCAAAAAAACAAAACAAAAACAAACAAACTCCGCCCTCCAAAAACCAGACTCTGGTGCCTTGGTGACACTGTCCCCATGCTGTTCCTCTGTGGCATTTGTGTAACAGGTAGACTGTCTCCGGAGAGGCTGCGGGTGAGGGAGGGATAATTCAGGGAGGCGGGGGTGTGACCCTCTTGACTGACTGGGAGCAGTGGAGCCGAGAGGGACAGTGACAAGATGGCCCTGGTAAACGCGTGCCCAGGGGAGCTGAGACCTTGTGGGCCAGCAGAGGTCTCTGTGGTGCTATGTGTTCCTGCTTCAGCTTCCTGAGTTATCCAGGCAAGGTAAGCCACACCCCATTTTGCTTGTGACAACTCCACTTTTGTCATATTTTTTGTGTGGGGTGGCAGGCCCAAGGTCGTCCAGAGCTGGCTACCGAACTGAAACTTGAAAAATAAACACAGAACCTCACAGCCTTTTGGTCACTTGGTACTATTCTGTCATCTGTGTGTTTTGCAAAAATCACTTCACGCCCCATGCCTGTTTCCCTGCCTTAAAATGAAGAACGTAAAGAAAATGTAATGGGGTCTTATTTATGAGCATTTTTAAGAGCACAAGAATTGGGGCTGGCACTGTGGTGTGGCATCCCATTCAGGCACCAGTTCAAGTCCTGGATGTTCCACTTCCAACCCAGCTAATGGCCTGGGAAAAGCAGCAGCAGATGGCCCAAGTACATGGGCCCATGCACCCCCATGGGAGACCCAGAAGAAGCTCCTGGCTCCTGGCTTTGGCTCGGCCCAGCCCCAGCCCCAGTGGCTATTTGGGTGAGTAAACCAGTGTTTGGAAGATCTCTCTCTCTCTCTGTCTTTCCCTCTCTCTTTCTGTAACTCTGCCTTTCAAATAAAATAAATAAATCTAAAAAAAAGAGTTATTTAAGAATTAAAAAGAGGACGGGGTGAAACAAGTAGCTTTTATTATTCTTGCTATTGCTTAAAATGTGGGACCACATTCACTATGCAACAGTCAAACATTGCCCCATGGAGAAGCCAGCACTTCCTTTCTGTTGAATGCCGACCTAGGAGCTGCACTGCGCATGTGTGTGTGTGTGTGTGGGGATGGGGGGACTGCAACATCGGCATTGCTCTCATGGGAACACTGGTGGCCTCCAGGAGACCAATTAGTGTGTAAGACAATGGAAACACCCAGAAGCAACATACTTTCCATTCAAAGCTTCTCAAGGACTGCTTTACTGTGTCTGGTGTTTTACTGGCCTCTGTGTACAGGAATCTGGCACCCCGGCTCCAACAGCCACGCCAGCTCCCAAAGTGGGACAGATCCGTGTTCAGTTCTCCGGAGCCACTGCTCCCTCTCCCACTTTCTTACCCTCTTCTACCAATCTCCCTTGGCCAACTACTTCCTGCCACCTCCTTTATGAAGTCACCGGGTGTGCTGGATATATTTGACTGCACCCCGTTTCCTGCTGACATATCTGACTACCACCACAGAGACGTGGGCTAGTCCTCTCAGGTATGGCAGCACCGTGCAGTGGCTAAGGGCATCCCGGCTACGACGATGACCTCTGGAGCCGGCTGCCCTGGGTTCAAATCCTATGTAGCTCAGGGCAACTTACCCTTAGCTTCCCCTTCTATAAAACAGGTATGGTGACATTACCTAGTGATGGGGTGGCTGTGGGGACTAAGGCGCTGAAGGGGAGACAGTTCATGGTAAGCGCTTCATCTGAAAATCGCTTTACTGCTGCTGTCGTTAGGAAGATCAGAATTCCTTACTGGACTTGGCCCCAGAGCACGTGCAGAGGCGTTGGACGGGACGCTGCTAGCGTCTTGCACGTGTCTGACACGCACCCGAACCGCGTGGGCTGGATGGGCGTGTGAGTGAGAACTGTCGGAGATGCTGCAAGTGTTGCAGCTGAACTTCGCAGATGCAGAGGAAGAGGGAGTCCAGCTTTCAGAGCTGGCCCTGATCTTGAAGGAGAACACCTATCACCAGCGCTAATCATGTGAGATCCAGCACAGAAAGCAGCAGGCTTACGGAGGCGACATCCCAAGGTCACGAAGCTAGTTAGGTGGCAAAGCTGGAACTGGGACTCCGGAAAGTATGCTCTCGATTGCTAATCTATATTGTCTCCCCAGGTGCAGACTACCCTCTGAGAACCAGGGCCCATCGCCTCACTGGTGCCATTAGCTCCAGGGAAATCCGATCACCTAGGTACAGCAGAACCCTCCTGAGGAAGAAACGGTAACTCTGTATCAAACCACTGATGTAGATCATCAGTTCAACAACCTGTACTGAGTCGCTGGTTTACCCTGGCCAAGGCATTAGACTGGGTGCTGGGCTTCAAAGATGAATGAGGGGCCGGCAATGTGGCATAGTGGGTAAAGCCACCGCCCGCAGTGCCGGCATCCCATATGGGTGCCGGTTCTAGTCCTGGCTGCTCCACTTCCGATCCAGCTCTCTGTTATGGCCTGGGAAAGCAGTACAAGATGGCCCAAGTCCTTGGGTCCCTGCACCCATGTGGGAGACCCGAAAGAAGCTCCTGGCTCCTGGCTTCAGATTGGCACAGCTCTGACCATTGCGGCCAACTGGGGAGTGAAGCAGCAGATGGAAGATCTCTCTCTGTCTGTCTCTGTCTCTTCTCTCTCTGTGTAACTCTGACTTTCAAATAAATAAATAAATCTTAAAAAAAAGATAAATGAGACAATCAAGAGGGGGAGACAGACAGACAGACAGATGGATCATTTCAGTGTAACAGGGCCAGTGAGGAGGAAAGCAGACGTGGGTGCTATGGGAACACAGGGTGCTGCCAGAGTATTGGCAGAGTTTGGGCAGACCCAAACCACGTGGGGCAGATTGTTCTTAAACAGTATGCAGGATCGGAGGGGAAGGAATGGGGGACGGGGATTACTAGCGTGGAAACATGAATGAACATCTGTATTTGGTAGTATTAGGATACAAAGGCGGAGGGAGGCAGAGGAGGGAGAGCAGACTGCAGAGGTGGTCGGAGATCAGATCAAGGTAGGGCCCTGGAATGTCTCGTGCAAGGACTTCGCCTGGATCCAGACAGCAGTGCAATGCTGACAAAGGGTTTTAATCAGGGAGAGGGTGGACAGAGCTGCATTTCAGAAAGCTCACTTGGCAGGGGCCACCATTGTGGCATAGCGGGTTACGCCATGGCCTGCAACGTGGCCATTCTATGTGGGCACGGGTCCGAGTCCCGATGCTCCGCTGATCCAGTTCCCTGCTAATATATCTGAGAAAGCAGTGACAGATGGCCCAAAATACTTGGATCCCGGTCACCTATGTGGGAGATCCAGATGGAGTTTTTGGCACCCTGGCTTTGGCCTGATTGAGCTCTGGCTATTGCTGTCATTAGGGGAATGAAGCAGAGGATGGAGGATCTCTCTCTCTCCTTCTAACTCTGCCCTTCAAATAAAAAAAGCAAGCAAGCAAGCAAGCTCAGTGGCAGGCCGGCGCTGTGGTGTAGGGAGTCTGCCTGTGATGTTGGCATCCCACTGGGGCGCCAATTCAAGTCCCACCTACTCCACTTCCAAGCAGCTCTTTGATATGGCCTGGGAAAGCAGTAGAAGATGCCCCAAGTCCTTGGGCCTCTGCACCCATATGCAAGACCCAGAAGAAGCTCCCGGATCCTGCCTTTGGATCGGCACAGCTCTGGCTTTTAGGACCATCTGGGGAGTGAACCAGCGGATGGAAGACCTCTCTCTCTCTGTCTCTGCCTCTCCGTAACTCTGCCTTTCAAATAAATAAATCTTAAAACAAAAAAAAAATGCGATCTCACCCCTCCCAATTTGAAGACGGGGAATCTATGGGGATCAGATACCCCAATGATATCCCATGGGGGTAATATGCTGCGACACGATCTTTTGGAGATCTGACTCCTGAGAGCGTCCCCACTGGGATGCAGGCTGTGATTTTGTGAGAAAGGTCCCTGGCTGTTAAGAGTTAAGTGTGCGGGCCGGGCGCCTCTCACCTTTGCGGGCCTTGTCTCCTGGGATGTTCTGGGCCCGCAGCCGCTGGTCCAGGATGTAAAGCATCTCCCCGCCCAAGTTCAAGAAGAGCAGCGGTAGCGTCCGCACAGACATGGTGCTGGAAGCTAGCAGGGCTGCCCCGGGGCTCGGCAGCCAGGGGCCTAGAGGCCCGGCCGAGCGTCCCCGTAGCCTGGTTGCTAGGGCAACGCCGCGTATGGGACAAATGAGCCAATCAGGAGGCCGTTTGGTTGGAGGTGCCCTTTAGGCGGGCGCTCATTGGGCTGAGTGGCAAAGGCCCGCCCCGAGGCGGAAGCAGGAGGGCGTGGCTTCCGCGAGGGCCCCCGGCAGGATAAGGGGGCGGGCTTTGGCCCGCTGAGCGGAAGCCCTACATCTCTAGAGCAGATCCGCGTCAGGACGAGGTGGGAGTCCCGGCTCGCAGTTTCCTGGCGGGACTGTTGAGCCTCGGCTTCCGCGTGTGTAAGAGGCGGGTAACCCCCACCTCCCAGGGCTGCTGAGAACCAGATCACGAAAATCGCCGCGGAAGCATCCGTAAAATGGTGGCAGACTTCCCTTTCCGAAGGGGGGAGGAACCAGAAGGCCTGGCGATGTCTGCATTGCCGCCCTGAAGCCTCCTCGGAGCCCCACCTGCTTCCACGCCGGAAGCGAAGCAGGCTGTGTGGCCCGCGCGAGTTCCTCCCCGCCGGCGACCCCTCCCTCACCTTCGCTGGCCTTGTTCCTTGATGAACAACTATGCTGCAAATTTCAACTTAAGATAGCTTTCTCTTTTTACTTTTTATTTATTTGAAAGACACATACACATACCCAGAGAGAATCTTCCCGTCTGCTGGTTCATTCTCAAATGCCCACAACAGCTGGGGCAGGGCCAGGCAAAGCCAGGAGCCAGGAACTCAATCCAGGTCTCCCACGTGGGTGACCGAGACCCAACTACTTGAGCCATCACCTGCTGCTGCCTCCCAGGCTGCGCATTAGCAGCAAGCTGGAATAGGGACCTGGAGCCAGGACTTGAACCCAAGCACTCTGAGACGGGAAACGGATGGTCTAAGTCACAGCTTAGCCGGTGTGCCAAGTGCCTGCCCCCAATTTCGTTATTTCTAAAGCTTACTAATTTATGTCCCCCCTCCCACTTGAAACAAGCTTTGGCTTCCAAACCTCCCTGGAATTCTAAATTATCAATGAAATTCCCCTTTTGCTTCTAAAATCTTTCTCACCTTTATCCCTTCATGGCCGTTTATTCTCTTTACTTAAAAGACAGAGAGAGGGAGGGAGGGAGGGAGGGAGAGACCCACAATATGGGCACCAGATTCTGTCCCAGTTGCTCCTCTTCCAGTCCAGCTCTCTGCTGTGGCCTGGGAAGGCAGCTGGAGGATGGCCCAAGTGCTTGGGCCCTGTACCCCATGGGAGACCAGGAGGCACCTGGCTCCTGGCTTTGGGCCGGCGTAGCTCCAGCCATAGCAACCATTTGAGGGGTGAACCAACCCAAGGAAGACCTTTCTGTCTCTCACCGTCTAACTTATCTGTCAAATAAACAGAGAGAGAGAGAGATCTTCCACCTGCTGGTTCACTCCCCAAATAGCCACAACAGCGGGGGCTGGGCCAGGCTGAAGGCTGGAGCTTCTAATTGGTCTCCCAAGTGGATGGCAGGGGCCCAGATACTCGGGCCATCCTCTGCTGCTTTTCCCAGGCACATTAACAGGGAGCTGGATTGGAAGTGGAGCAGCTGGGACTCAAGCCAGCGTGGCCGTGCAGGGGGAGGCCTAACCTACGCCACAGCACTGGCCCTGCTCCATGGCCGCGTCTATCTGTAGTTGCTGTTCCTTCCTGTCACTGCTCTTTTCCCACCTCCACCCTGCACTGGCTGCTGGGCTACATTTCAGAAGACGCCACCTTCAATAGGACACATCCCCTCAGTGACTTCCTACTGTGTGGCAAATCAGTCTGAGGGTGGCTCCAATACTTTCCAGAGCCCCCTCTGCCCCTGGCTCCTCCCATCCTGCTGAACTCATTTCATATCAGCAAGTTGTCCCCTCTGTGGGCAGTTTGCCCAGCTCCTCTTTCTCACAGCTGCACCCCAGCAGGTCGTGCCTCCGCACGCCAAGCTCAGCACCCTCCCTTCATCCCGCACCCTGTGAAGTCCATTTTCTATTCCCGGCCAAGTTTTCGGAGAGTACTCGACCTTCACAGGCTGGATTTCTGTCACTGCCCACCTCACTGCCCTGGAACTGCTTCTCTGTGAGTACCTGGCCTTCCCTTCACTGACATCTCAGCATCAGGACCGTGCTGTGGTCAAGAGCTGGCAGCTCAGGGCTTTGCCTGCTCTGCGCACCACACAAAAGGGGTTGGAACTAGGACAGAAATGTAGTGACCAGCATCATTACTCATGCCAAGCTTCCCTGCATTTGTTACCTGCCTGGCTTCCAAAGGCATTTGGGTTTGGGACAGTGTCAACTCCTCCCCTAGCTTCTCAGAGCCGGTTTTATCTCGTTTGGTATGGTGGACAGGAGGGACATGGGCAGTGGAGTTCTCTCATGCTAAAAGGATAATTAGCCAATGTGGGGAACAAAGGTGCCTTTGACTATTAGGCGAGATGCTATACCTTGGGCTTGTGCCTTTCCTGTAGGGCCTGATCTGCTCACGTGTTCCTTTTTCTCTCCTGTCCCTCTGCCAGGCCCCTTAAATGTTGGCATCAGGCCATGGAGCACAGTCCCTCCATCTGACTGTGCCCACTCAGGAGTCCTGCCCCTGCCAAGGCCTTCCCCGCCATTCCTGGAGGCACTGTCTGAACAGCTTACTCAGTTCTGAGCCTCTCGTCTCTGTGATTCTGCAGATCCCAAGCTCTGTTCTATCCACACACCTTGCCCTCAACCTGAGCTGTGCCTGCTGTCTCAGGCTGTGCCCTCAGGGATCATTTCCCCCCCCATGATACTTGTTTCTCTTCCGCATTGCCTCCCTGGACAGTCTCACTCACATGACTTCACTCACCCTGACAACTCCCAAACCCCTCTTGCCCAGACCTCTCTACTGAGTTCCAGATCTAAATCTCCCACTGCTCTTGGGGCGGCACTTTAACACATCTTTCTCCCTTGTCTGGTTTTCCTCGGCACTGCCTTTCTCTGAATGAAGCCCCAGGCCTGCGGCGTCATGAACGGAACGTTTGCCCCTCAACTCCAGTGTCACGGTATTCGGAGAGGGGGCTTTTGGGACGTGGTCAGGGTTACATTAGGTCATGAAGGTGAGGCCCTGGGGATAGGATCAGCAGCCATAGGAGACAGAGATCTCCTTTCTTCCTAAGGAGAGGCCAGATGAAGACAAATGAGGTGGCCTCCTGCAAGCCAGGAAGAGCGCCCTCATCAGAGATGGAATCAAGCAGCACCTTGATCTTGGACTTCAGGTCCCAGAATTAAGAAAATAAGTCTCTCTAGCGTAAGTCACCTGGCCTATGGTAGCCTGAGTGGCCACTGCATCCAGAAAGCACAATATCATCTAGTGCCTGCTTACCCCCCTGACCGTCCTCTCTCCCTACACTCCTTGCTCAGTTTCAGGCACATTGCCTGTCCTGGGTTCTTCAAACATGCCAAGCACACTCAGGCTCAAGGTCTCGGCACTTCACTTGGAGTCAGTGGGTGGGCTTTATGGGGAAGAGGTAACCGTAATCCCCCAGAATTTATAAGCAACGCTTGGGGTATATAGAATATGACTTGTAGTTTTTATCAATCCAAACACCAACACCCACAACCCCAAAACAATACACTGCTCTGATCCCTTCCCGCCACCTACCTTCACACAGCTGTTGCTAACTATCCAAAACGCAGACTTGCTATTGCCATCACTCCTTAGGTTTTAGAACGTGGTAACTGGCTCCCGCTCCCTTTAGCACCGTGTGCAGCTTTCTCTGCTGAGTGTATAAAGCCTCTCCTATCTGAGCTTCAGCTCGCCGGCCAAGCTTTTCGTTTACATTTCACGCATTTATTTATTTGAGAGACACAGAGATCCCATCTACTGTTTCTGTCCCTAAATGCCTACAATGAACGGCCGGGGCTGGGCCAGGGCTGTGGCTAGCAACCCTATCCAGGTGTCCCTAGGAACGCAGGCCTTCCAACACGGATGCGGGTGCTTTACCCATTAGGCTAGGGGCCCACTCCCTCAAGCGGCATGTGCATCTTCCTGCTCTCTGATTACAGCATGCACCTGCAGCCTTCTCCGCCTGGGCACCTGCACACTTGCAATCCCTGCTGCCCGGGAAGCCTGCCCTCCCGGCCTTGGCCCAGTGAATGCCTCCTCTTCCTGCTCCTCTAGGGCCTGGTCCGGGAGGCAGCCTTCCCACTCGGCCAGCTCCCCTCCCACTCTGCTGCCATGGGCTCAGCCTCACCTCCACCTGGAAGACAGGTGGGTGTTTAAGAGTGAGTCCGCTGGTAGGTGAGGGTCAGGTCCTGCCTCAGGCCACTCCAGGATCTGAGCTGAGTGAAAACAGGAATCCCTTCTCCTCAGGCCAAAAGGAGCCCCGTCTTTCCTACTGCCACTCTCCAAGGCGGAAAGAAAGATTCTAACAGACTTTATTGGCCCTCTTGGCGTGTTTCCTGGTGTGTCTCTGGCAAGGCTGTGGGAGGGCTCGCTGGGTTCTCCATGGATCCTTGTTTTTGGGCTGCGGCTGCTGCTTTTAAAGCCCTTTTTTGCTTCTTTAGCTTTTGCACCTCCTGGAAAACCTGGGGGTGAGAGGAACAGGACAGTGTAAGCCCCTACAAAAGCTCAGACGTGGGGCAGGCGGGGTGGGCACACTCTCTCTCAGAGGGCAGCTGCAGCCTTTCTCATGGGGTCAGTGGCCTGTGACTTCCTGAGGTCCATGTCAGGCCCTGGGCCGGTTCTGTCAGAAACAGACGACGACCCAACACCCGTCCCCACCCCCCATCCCAGTCCCAGGGGAGGCCACCCAAAGCAGCCCTCGGACGCGCACCTGAATGCACAGAGCCTTCTTGGCGAGGAAGCGGCGGTGGGCTCTGCGGTAGTACAGAGGGGGGAAGGTGTACTCGATCCCCAGCTCCCTGCACGTCTTCTCAAAGACTTCGTAGTTGGTCTTGCGGAGGTTTTTGAGCATCTTTTTCCGCTGGTCGATGCTCATCAGCAGATAGCGCTTATGAGCTTTGTCCTGTAAGACAGTCTGCATTACCTTCTCTCTTTTTTATTATTTTGTTTATTTATTCTTATTTATTTATTTGAGAGGTGGAGTTAGAGAGTAGGAGAGACAGAGAAAGGTCTTCCATCTGCTGGCTCAGCCCATGAGATGGCCGCAACAGCTGGAGCTGAGCAGATCCAAAGCCAGGAGCCAGGAGCCTCCTCCGGGTCTCCCACGTGGGTGCAGGGGCCCAAGCACTTGGGCCATCCTCTGCTGCTTTCCCAGGCCATAGCCCATAGCCGTAGCTGGACTGGAAGAGGAGCAGCTGGGACATGGACAGGAGCCCATATGGGATTCCAGCGCCTCAGGCGGAGTCTTAGCCCACTAAGACTAAGCCAGAGTGCCAGCCCTGTATTACTTTCAGTATTAAGTAAGAGTGACTGTCATTTACAATAACAAAGTGTGGCCATTTTATCATTTCCCAACAACCTTATACAAGTAGTAGTCTAACTCAGAGGGAGGTATTACCATGGCTGTTCCCATTTTACAGATGGGAAAATCAAAGTTCAAAAAGTTGGCCTAGTGGCTAAGATGCCTGTAACTCACATCAGCATGCCTGGGGTTCAATTCCTGGCTCTGGCTCCTGGCTCCAGTTTCCTGCTAACATAGACCTTGGGAGGCAGTAGTGAAAGCAGGTAACTGGGTTCCTGCCACCCACATGAGAGACCTGGATGGAGTTCCTGGCTCTGACCCCAGCTGCTGTGGGTATCTGAGGAGTGAACCAGTGGATGAGAGCTCTGTCTGTGTCCCTCAAATAAAAAAAGTGTTATGATTCACACAAAGTCCCCAGAACTGTGGGTGTTGCCGCTGGGTCTCGAGTCTAGCTTTACTTGGCTGACTCCAAAGCGCAGGCTCTTTCCCCGGCATCGCCACAGCCCAGCAAACTGTCGGGAGGGAAGGCCCCTTCCACAGCTGGAACTGTGTGAGGGTCCGCCACACCCCAAATCAAGGAACCGTGGTCTCCCGGGGCAGGCTCAGCTAGCTCTGGGGAACACTGGGGTGCCAGGCATGGTACTGGGCCAGTTTCTGTTTACAACACGTGTTTATTAAAATTAAGAGCAATTTCAGCAGCTCAGCTCTGTGCCTTGTTTCAAGCCTTGGCACATCGTTTCCCAGTGGTGTGCCTTAAGGCACAGCTGAATCACTTCGTGACACACGAAGTACCTAGCACGGGGCCGAGAGACTTCCCACGCATCATGCTGGCTGCTGTTATGATTTCCCATGATCCTCCCCATCCTGGAAGCAGATCCTCCTAAGATCCCCATCCTACAACTAAGAGAACAGAGGCTCAGCTCTACAACTTCCCTAAGTCACACAGCTGGCTAAGTGGAAGGGGCAGGACTGAGACCTGAGCTTAGTGCCATCTGACTCTAGTCCCCCTTTTAACAGGCACCCATAGAGCACGTGCTGCGCCAGCCACTGTGACTGTGCTCTGGGGTCGGCGTTCCTAACCCCAGGGGACATGCAGCACAGCCCTGCATGGCTCCATTTTTCCCCCGGAGGCCGCTGAGGCGCTCTGGTGCCGCAGCCACCTGGCGTCTCCCGCGGCTGCTCTGTGCCCAGAGCCCTCCAGCTCCCAGCCCCCTCCCAGCCAGGCTGCTGCTGTCTGAGTGGTGTCAGGGGTTTACCTTCCGATGCTTCTGCATGTGTTCTTCATAATTGCAGATCTTGACAGTCAAGGCAACAACTGAAACCACAAACCACAGAGGATGAGAGCTGGGGACAGAGGAAGGAAGGGCCCAGGTCTGGGTCAGGTTTTAGGAACCCCAGGAAAAACAATCACCAATGTTCTTGTATAGCTCTCTACAAATCCCAAAGTACTCGGACTTGCAAGATCTCAGATGGCTTGGGATTATCTTTTCCTTTAGAAAGTAAAGTCTAAGGAAAGGAAATTCCTAAATTTTATAAAGCAGAGGTGGAGAACATTTTTTCTGCGGGCCATATAAAATGATCAATGATCAACGTAAAAGTCAGCCTGCTACATATTTATTGAATTTCGAGTCCTACCTGTGCTGTCCTGGGCAGGGCCAGACTAAATGACTTCCTGGGCCTTATACTGCAGGCCAGATGTCCCTCACCTCACCCCCCCATTATAAAGGTATCATCCAAAATCATAGCAAACAGAGTCTTCACGATAAACCTTCAGAGCACTCCCCTTACATTCAGGCTACAGACCAGGCTGCATGCTATCAAGGTTAATCCTCAACACTGCACCAGAGGTCCCAGCCAGTGCAGTAAGGCAAGACTCCTCAACTGACAGGTCTGTCTGGGACCTCTGCCTCTCCCCTTTCAGCTGCCACTCTTATCTCTGCGCTCTCACAAGTGAGTTCTCAGAATTATTAGCTCCCACTTGTCTCCCAAGCCCCTGAAATGTCTTTCCTATCCACTCGTGTTACCAGAATGGGGGTAAAAGCAAAAGTTGGCCCCAAAGAGAGGCTGTCACTCAAGCAGGCCCCTCCCACAATGCACACTGGGCTCTGGGAGCACTGCAGTGGGCAGCCTGGCCCTTCCCGCGTGGCTCCTTCACTCTACATAGCTGCAGAGTGCACAGAGGCAGAGCACGGGCTTTGGTCCCTGAGGGTCTCTCTGGAGCAGACACCACGCTGGAAACAACTGGCCAGTAGAAAACTGAGGAGTAATGAAAGGGCAGCAGTGATACTTGTGGTTCCAGGGGATCACCAGGGTCTTGGCAAGCAGGCCCTCTGTTCCTGCCAGCCCGGGAGATGTCAACGTGATAATGCAGAAAACAGGGGAGGTGAGACAAGCAGGAGGAAGGGGCGGGGCTTCTCACTCCCCTAGTCTGTTCTAGTTGGAATGCCCCCCAGTGTACGTCCGGCATACACGGGTTCAGGACATGTTGGTCTTACTGTTTTTGTCACAGAGCACGAGCTTGAGTTTCCAAGGTGTGCGCATGTCCCCTAGCTTCTCCCAGTGCTGCTGTGAGTTAGGAGGCATCATCTCTGCCCTGCCCTCGGCCGCCCCACCCCCGCCCCAGACGAGGACCGGGCCACTGACTCCAGCGTCAAGGAGCTGAGGATGCAGAGTTCAGTTTTTGTGGCCCTAGGCCAGGGCTGGGGAGCCTTTTTACTGTCAAGGGCCGTTTTGGATATTTATAACATCATTTGTGGGCCACACAAAATTATCAACTTAAAAATTAGCCAGTTACATTAAAAGCAAAAAAAATTAGTCAGTTACAGATTTACTGAATGTTGAGTTTCACCTGCTGCTGCCTTGGCAGAGCAAGACCAGCTGACCTCATGGGCCTTACATGGCCCGCAGGCTGACAATCCCCATCCCTGCCCTAGGTCCTTCCCATCCCCCTTTCCCAAGCCATGCCTGAGTGTGTGTGCAGACAAAAACCCCAGATCAGGAAGCAGCCGGCAGACTCCCCTGCACCCCCATCCCCCAGAGACCCCAACCAACTTCGAGCTTCCAGGGAACTGGTGTCCTTAGGGTTTGCCACAACCTTGTTCATCAACTGTTCTTGAATGGCTTTTAGCTTTTCCTTCTGTTGAAGACAGAGAGAGAAAATCTTCAATGCTCTGCCACCCTCTGAGAACAAGCTCTCCTCCTCCGAGGCCATGGCTGCGTCACAACAACCAGGCCCAGAAAGCCCAGGGCCTGACTTCTCTGTGCTCACCATGGCCATGGCCATCCAAATGGATATTCATCCCGAGGTGAACCCAGGGCCAAAGCCTCTGAGGAGAGACATGGATGCCCCCAAGGCTTTCTTACTTATTCACGAATCAGGTCTCTAGGAATATCTACTGTGTGTCAGGTGCTAGGGCCACAGTGGAGAAACAAAACCGTCCCTGCCCTTGACACTTGGTGTGGGGGCACTACAGGTGGACATGGAATGACAGAGAGAGGGGTGCTGTGACTGGGGAAGCATAGCCCAGGGGCGGGGGCTGGGTAGGAGGGAGTCCCAGAGAACAAGACCAGGGGAGGATGAGGGATGAGGCCACAGCTTGGCACAGGCCACTCACCCGGTTGGCCATTTCCAAAGACAGGAGTCTCTTCACGACGTCATCCACCCTGTGGGAAAACCACAGCAATGAGAGACAGCTGGGGCGGGGTGGGGGTGGGGGGCAGCAATGCTGCTTTCATTTCAGTTTGAAAAGGAAGGATGACTGCAAATTCCCTCTGCAGCAAATGAACCTCTCTGGAGCTGGGGAGCCGTCTCCCGGGACTGAGAGTCCGCATGGCCCTGGCTGGCTGGGCTGAGAGCACGGAATAGTGCGACGGCTGTGGAAAGCCGGGGCTGTTGGCTGCAGTGTTCTGGTCTTGTCACAGGGAGGGCAAAGGGATGTCCTTTTTAATTAGAACATGGTTCAGTGCACCTCAAGACACTTTAAGTCACATTGCAGAGGGGAGACACTAGAGGCACAGCCCAGCCCCCACCCCACAGGACACAGCGCTGAGCAGGAGGGGCCAGGCTTTGGTGTCGGTCAGCCCAGGAGTCAGACCCCAGCTCTGTTCCTGAGCAGACATTGGCAGCTCAATAGTCTATGACATGGGACAGTATTTCTTCCTTCACAAGGTTCTTGTGAGGACCAAGAGATGAGAGCTTTCTACAAAGGCCTGAGAGCTGTGTTAGTTTCTAGGTATGAAGTGGTACGGGGTCTTCACCTAGACTACCAACAAAAGCAGGAAACCCATCCAGTTCCAGGAGTGCCAGCTGCCAGTGCTGCCACCTGCATCACCACACTGGGGTCCCTGTGGCTCTCGGCCTCATCTTCAAGCAAGTTTCAGACACAGCAGCTCAAGCCTTGAAGCCACCCCCACCCCAAGCGGGTTTCTTTGTGCTTACTTGTCAATCCCAGGAATGTTCTGGTAGTCTTTGAGCAGCGTAGAAGGAGGCAGGTCATTGTCTTGGATGAGCTGGACTGTCCAGTACAGGGATGGAAAATGCCCAGAGTCAATTCTCTCTGTCCATCCCCTTCTCACCCACACCCCAACTTGGTGAGAAGCATCTAGGACCTTAAGCAAGGCACTGGGCATCTCTCGGCTCACTCTCTCCTCTACACACCCTGTGTGCACCTGCCCTGATACTTCCTACTGGGGGGACATGGCATTTCCCAAGACCATCCACTGTGCCTGCACTCTCACACACCTGGCTGGCTTGTTATCAGAACCCCCGCTAGGATGGGTCCTCCTGTGATCCGGACTGGCTCTGACTGTCTGAATCCCTCACCGTCTGGTCTATGGCCCAGCCTAGACAGAACAGGCACTCAGCAAACACTTGCAGGCTGGCTGCTTGACTGAACTAAGGGGGTGAAGGAGGGAGAGCCGAGCGAAAGGTGCACCCAGTAGAGATCACTGGCACAGCTCAGCCTCGGGGTGTGCATTCCCGACATTCACCCTTCGGGTGCATCGTCCTCTACGGTCAGACCCCGTAAATAATATTAAGAGCAATAGGGACTAATACCTACCACTATCTGTTGTGTGTTATCACCGAATCCTAACAATAATCCTCTCACATGTTTACTCTACACGCATCTTAGAAACCAGGCTGAGAGAGACGAAGTAACTTGCCCAGTAGCATCCACTAGTAAGTGGGATCTTAAGCACCATGCAACCTTAGAGTGAGAAACCACCTGCTGCTTCTCAGGACGAGACACAGAAGGCGCTACCCACCCTGCGAAGGGCTGGGCCGCGCCAGCCACGCACTCCTAGCCTGCGAGTTTTCACTCCCACGGCCTTTCTTCCCGCCCACCTCCCCTCCCTTGCAGCCTGCGGGCTTTGTGCAGGGTGGGCACGGGCATCTACTGTTAAGGATCTCCGGCTGCCCCCTCTGCTATCTCTGTCCTCTTGGCCGCCACTTCAAGCCTTCCGAGAGGTCACTCCTCCACCCCGAGTCCCACCCTGAGACCTCCTACCTGGTTTCTGGCTGGCAAATCCGCGGGCGGCCTGGAGCAGGAGACCTACGCAGAAGAGAGAGGGCAGAGACCCGGCTCCTTAAGTGGCTCAGTCTGATTCCTCCATGGTCTGTCCAGTTGTGGCTCCATGTCAGTCCCACCTCGTCCCCACCCCACCCCCACCTTCATTCCCAGCCTCCACTCTTTCTCTCGTACCCGGCCGCGGCGCTTCTCCCCTACTCTGGTCCCCTCGCCCCTTCCATCGCCCTATTTCCCTGCTCCCGCCGTCCCATCTCTCAGCTCCTCACTTCGCGGTTGCAGGCCCCGCTGATCCAAGGGAAGCCCGGCGCTCCCACCGCTCGGCAGCCTAAAGCCTGGGGCCGGAGTCACTGCCCGGATTCGAACGGCACTCAGCGTCCTCCACGCGGCTCTTAGCATGCTGATTTCTGACCTCAGCTGCACCCGCGCCACAGTAGTCCTCCGGGGTACGGACCAGGTTACATGCGCGCCGCCATGCTGCCTCAGGCTCGACCAATCGATGCGCTTGCGAGACCAGAGCAGATGAGGACCGAGGGAATAGATCGGCGGGCGGGCTCCAGGGATGACGCAATTACTGGACGGTGGTCTGGGTGGAGTCGGCGCCAGACTGGGGGCGTGGTCGTTGTACGGCCCGGCTGTTAGCGGTGTGTGGTGCTTTGTGAGTTCCGAAATACCACTTCTTGGCTGCGGCGTCCTGCGTTCTTGACGTTCCTGGGCTTCGGCCTGGGGCCTTCAGCCCTCCGGCCCGGGATGCTCCCCCAGCTTCCCAAGCCCAGGGTGGAGCCCTTTGTGAGGATGCTGGGCTGGTAGCCTGGTGATTAAGGTCGCTCGTTTTGGAATCCGGCAGCCTTGGTCAGGAGCCCGAACTCAGAGGTCTCCCGCCTGAGATCTGTGGGCAAGTCCTGGACCTCTCCTGGGCCCCAGTGTACCCCTGCGTGCAGTGGGGTGGTAATTACAGCCTCTGTCGTCTAGGTTATTGAGAGGATTAGTCGAGGCAGGGGTGTGCAAATGCAGTGAGCACGCTGTGGATATTAGTTCTGCTAATATTTGTTAAGTGAGTGAAAGGCCAAACAAAAGTAGGAAAAAATTTAATTATCCCTGGTCCAAAAAGGGAATGGACTCCCCCCCCCCCATTTTTCTTAGAACGGTTACTTAATTGTGAATTCTTTCTCTACTCTTTTGAGAACTATAAAGATCTTTTTAAAGGCTGAATAAACCTCTTGCTAGTTTGACAACCTGGGAAGGTTTTTCTCAAGGACATGTGGGCCATCTCTCTCTGTCTCTCTCTCTCTGAATTATTTATTTATTTATTTGAAAGGCAGAATGACGGAGAGAGAGGGAGAGACAGAGAGAGAAAGAAGTCTTCCACCTGCTGGTTCATTCCCCAATGGTCAGAACCACTGGGACTGGCCAGGTGGAAGCTGGAGCCTGGAACTCCGTGCAGGTCTCCCAGGTGGGTGGCAGGGGCCCAGGCGCTTGAACCATCATTGCTGATGATGTGCTTTCCCAGGTGCATTGGTAGGGAGCTGGGATTTGAACTGGAGCTCCAACGTGGGATGCTGGCATCGCAGGCGGAAGCTGGATCTGTGGCCCCCTCCCTCCGTCTCTTAGGAATAGTGTCATTAAGGAGCTGAGAAGTGGTGGGGGGGGAGCGGACCCTGACTTCAGCTGGTGCCTAGCTCTAAGTTGCTAACCTCCTTCCTGTGATGAGGCCGTGAGACAGAGGCAAGCTGCTAATGTGCGCCCTGGTAAACAGCAGGTCGCGTGCCTACCTTACGTTTCGGTGACTTTAGCATGCACTACATGTGACAGATGGTGCTATCCTGTTCTCTTCCATGAGGACGACTTATGTAATCAATATTGTAAGATTTGGGCTTAGAGGGGGATCAGGGGCCAGCATTGTGGCACAGCAAGTTAAGTCTCTGCGTGCAGCACCGGCATCCCATATGGGCATTATTTTAAGTCCCGGATGCTCCCTTTCTGATCCCGTCCCTGCTAATGTGCCTGGGAAAGCAGTGGAAGATGGCCCAAGTGCTTCGGTTCCTGCACCCGTGTGGGAGACCTAGAGGTAGCTCCTGGCTCCTGGCTTTGGCCTGGCCCAGCCCCAGCTGTTGTGGCCCTTTGGGGAGTGAACCAGAGGATGGACGATTCTCTCTGTCTCTCTTCCTCTCTCTGTAACTCTGCCTTTCAAATAAATAAAAAATAAATCTTAAAGGGAGGGTGAGTGAAACACCAGCAGATAAGCTGAACTCTCTTGTGCTTGTTTTTCAGAGAATGTTCCAGAAAAGCATAGCCTGCAACATTGCAGTCAGAGAGGGGCCAGACCACCACAAGCAAGTTGAAGCAGCAGCATAGTCTGAGTCAGAACTTCATGAGCTAAGCTGAATTCGTATTATAATACTCAGTCACCACCTACAGGAGGAGTTTGCCACCATTTTCTGCACATACAGTGTATGAAGACGTATGTTGCTCACATGTCTGAGCAGGACACTCCCCTACCCCTGGCTGTCAGAGCCCTGGCACATAGCTTCTCAGGGAGGTGGTTACTTAGGGAGCTCCACCTGCCCATTGTCTTTTTTTTTTTTTTTTTTTTTGACAGACAGAGTGGACAGTGAAAGAGAGAGACAGAGAGAAAGGTCTTCCTTTTACCGTTGGTTCACCCTCCAATGGCCGCTGCGGCCGGCGCACCGCGCTGATCCGAAAACAGGAGCCAGGTGCTTCTCCTGGTCTCCCATGGGGTGCAGGGCCCAAGCACTTGGGCCATCCTCCACTGCCTTCCCGGGCCACAGCAGAGAGCTGGCCTGGAAGAGGGGCAACCGGGACAGAATCCGGCGCCCCGACCGGGACTAGAACCCGGTGTGCCGGTGCCGCAAGGCGGAAGATTAGCCTAGTGAGCCGCGGCGCCGGCCCCATTGTCTTCTTCACTTGTCACAGTAAATAAAGCCTTTCACCCAGAATCTCCCACTAACACTCCAAGTGGCTGGACCCCTTATGTCTGGTAACAAAATTTATGATGCCAGATGGAACTATCCCTAGCCTGGGCTTGGCACTATGTTTGGTGCAGCAGTTACGACACCACTTGGGATGCCAGCATCCCATAGCCGACAGCCTGTGTTCAAGTCCTGGCTCTGCTGCCTATTCCAGCTTCCTGCTGATGTGCACCCTGAGAGGCAGCAGGTGATGGCTCAAGTGCTTGTGTCCCTGACACCCGCCTGGGAGACCTGGATTGAATTCTGGGCTCCTGGCTATGGCCTGGCTCAGTCCCCAAAGTTATGGGCATTTGGGGATTGAACCAGGGGCTGGAAGATCTTTGACTTTCTCTTTGCTTTTCAAATTAAATAAAAAAAAAATAAAAACCCCAAAAATAGACAAAAAAAAAAAAAAGGTTTTGGGAACTAATGACTGGTGAAGCAAGTTCTAAAATTCCAACTCCCTCTACATTTCCCTGGGTGTCCCATCCCACTCCTGGGAAGAGACCTGCTAACTAAAGTGGGTGCTACTGTGTATGTAAGTCAAGGCTGAGTAGAACTGGAAGTCCCCGGGAGCCGCGAGCAGATTCTTGGCTCTCCTCCACGAGGCACCTAAGAATCCTGAAACCATCCAGGGAGTTATTTATCTCTGGTTACTCCAGAAGTAGGGGCCAGGCCCAGTGGGTTGGGCTGTCAGCAACTGCCCTGTAACGATTTCTAAAGCAAATTGATCCCTGACCCAGGGTCAGGCAGCATCCTCTGAGACCTGGAGCACCAGCTGGCATCTCACCATAGTCAGTGATCGACCAGGCCCTGCAGATCTCCTTGTAACCCCTCTATACTACCTGTTAAGAAACCCAGGTCTGAATATAGGTTGTACAGGGCAGGTGTATGTGAGGGCTGGGGACGAAGCAGTTCAGATCATTCATCTTATAGTGCCCAGCCCCTGTGCTCTATTGGCTAGTTTCCCAGGGCATGGCAAGTATTTATCTTTTAAGATAGGTTTATTTGAAAGGCAGAGTTATACACACACACACAGAGGGAGTGACAGAGATGGGGAAAGAGAGAGAAAGAGAGAGAGAGCACGAGCGAGCGCACAAAACAGCCACAACAGCCAGGGCTGGGCCAGGCTGATGCCAGGAGCCTAGAACTCCATCTGGGTCTCCCATGTGGGTTCCAGGAGCCCAAGCATTTGGCTGTCTTTTCCTGCTGTCCCAGGTGAATTAGCAGGATGTTGGATTGGAAGTGGATTGTCTGGGAACTTGAACCAATACTCATATGGGATACCAGTGTTACAGGCAGAGGCTTAACCCACTGCACCACAACGCTGGCCCTGATAGCAACTATCATTCTGTCATACATGCATTTTTTTAGAAGATTTATTTATTTATTTGAAAGGCAGAGTTTCAGAAAGGCAGAGATAGAGATAGAGATAGAGATAGATAGAGATAGATAGATAGAGATAGAGAGAGAGTCTTCCATCTGCTGGTTCACTCCCCAAATGGCTGCAGTGGCTGGAGCTTGCCGGATCTGAAGCCAGGAGCCAGGAGCTTCTTCAGGTCTGCCAAGCGGGTGCAGGTGCCCAAACACTTGGTCCATCTTCCACTGTTTTTCCAGGCCATAGCAGAGAGCTGGATTGGAAGTATAGCAGCTGGGACTCAAAGAGGCGTCCATATGGGATGCTGGCGGCAGCTTTACCCTCTATGCCACAGTGCTGGCCCCAGGATGTATTCTTTTAGACCTTGAGTCTAAATAAAAAATAAAATAAATTTAAAGTCTTGAGCACAAACACCCAAAACCTCACGAGGAACTGAAGTGTTCTGGGACTGTCCTACGCCACTTGTTTGAAAAAAACTCCCACAGGGCAGGCATTTGGTGCAGGGGATAAAACGCTGCCTAGGGCGCTGCATCCTGTATCAGAGTGCCAGAGTTTGAGTGCCAGCCCTGCTTGTGATTGTGATGCCAGCCTCCTGCCAGTGTGCACTCTGGTAAACAACTCATGAGGGCGCAAGTACCTGGGTCTTTGCCATGCACTTGGGAGACCTGGGTGGAGTTCTGGGCTCCTGGCCTTGACCTGCCCCTTCTCCCAGCTGTTGTGAGCATTCGTGGATGGAAGATCTCTCTTTTATTTATTTATTTATTTACTTTTTTTTTTTTTGACAGGCAGAGTGGACAGTGAGAGAGAGAGACAGAGAGAAAGGTCTTCCTTTGCCATTGGTTCACCCTCCAATGGCCGCCGCGGCCGGCGCACCGCACTGATCCGATGGCAGGAGCCAGGTGCTTCTCCTGGTCTCCCATGGGGTGCAGGGCCCAAGCACTTGGGCCATCCTTCACTGCACTCCCGGGCCACAGCAGAGAGCTGGCCTGGAAGAGGGGCAACTGGGACAGAATCCGGTGCCCCGACTGGGACTAGAACCCGGTGTGCCGGTGCTGCAAGGCAGAGGATTAGCTTAGTGAGCCACGGCGCTGGCCAAAGATCTCTCTTTTAAATAAGTGAAGATCTCTCTTTTAAATAAATGAAAAACAAATTAAGACCAAAGCA